AAGGAGGGAGGACTTAACATGCTAGATCTTACGTTATTTGATAAAGCGTTAAAGATAGTCTGGGTAAAGCGCCTGTGCGATAAGGATAAAAGACCATGGAAATTTATCCCACTCTCCTTACTTTCCAATGTTGGCGGCAACCTTCTTTTCCGGTGTAACTATGACATTCAATATCTACCCTTGAATGAAAACTTACCAAATGCTATCGAGATATAATTTCCCACGGCAGAAAGTTAATAGCACTAACCCGATAACAAAAGGAGACGTGTTAACTCAAATAATTTGGAACGATCAGTTTATTCGGGTAAACAAGTTATCTGTTTTTTTCCCTAGTTGGAAGAAAGTCGGCATGGTAAATCTCTTGTGCATTTTTGACAACGAAAGTAACACCTTGATGACTTTTACATCCTTCATGCAGAAATACAACGTCAAGAGTAATTTTCTACGGTACTACAGCCTTCTATCTGCAATACCACAGGAATGGAAATCTATGCTAAAGCAGGAATGTCTTCTACCGTCAATTGAATACGTACCACTTGCAATCGAAAAGCTCACATGCAAAACAATTTACAATACTTTACTCAATCACCAGCACTTCCTTCTTCCAACTGGGAAGAGAGAAGACTCATTGAACGCGGCTTTATCTTTCAAGAAAGACAAAAAAATCTACTCACTTCCTTTTCGTGTCACAAATGAGGTAAAATTATCCGCATTTCAATATAAAACAGTTCATAATATCCTGTATACAAATAAAATTTTGTACAAGATGAAAAAGAAGCAGCAACCCGATTGTCCTTATTGCCATGACATTGATCAAACACCACTCCATTTATTTGTGGAATGTCCAATTGCAAAATCCTTTTGGAATAAATTGACAATGTGGTACAACGCTACATGTAGACTGAGGAAACACTGCTTCGGAGCAAAACAAAGATATATATGGTGTTTTAAAATACACATCGTCCGGTTTAACCCTAAATCACCTGATCATAATTGGAAAATATTTTCTTTACATTAACGCAGTACAAGATGAAAAAAGACCCCAGTTCACAGGTAGTGTAACCCTTGTCAACGAAAAAAATTGAATTAGAAAAATACATTGCGATTACGACAAATAAATTACTTTCTTTTGCTGAAAAAATGGTCCAACTTTTTAAACAATTAATTATTGGAGGCTAGCGGTGCAAATGTAAATTAAATTTACCAATTTGTATTGTATCGTAGTATTAGTATTGTTCTTAGTAGCGTTCAAAGTATCGTTTTTTTTTTAGTAATATCGCATTGTAAGTAGTTTCGTATTTCTTTAAGTCGTTTTAGTACCTTATTGTAAATAGTTTAAGTATCACTTCATAAGTAGTATAGGTTAAGTAGTGTGTTGTAATTTGTTGTGCTTGAAATAAATAAATAAA